AATATTAAAATGAAACATTCATGAATATGATTTTCAAAATTTAAAACTTATTAAATGAAATTAAAGTCATATATACCATAATAAACCTTATTTAATTGAAGACATCATCACCGGAGCAGTCCACCTTTACCTCCGTTACGATTAAACAACAAGCTCGGACGAAGGTGGAGGTGCGTGTCCGTTTGGACCTCATTTCTGGTCGCATGCATCCTTGAGCATCCTGTCTCTGTCTCTGCATGCTTAATACCTGCCGTTATCCCAGCCAGATCGAGGGTGTATGCCATGTCTGCATGAAAAATAGCTGCTTTCGAGCTCTGTGAGACGTAATCCCAGCTTTGGCTGCCTTTTGCCCGTTGCCAACATATTTAAGCTCCACTCCAGAGTACGGGTCCTGTTGTCCTGCTGCCCAGATAATGCTTAGCGACACACTCCCTCCAATGTACGAATATATACACAAATATATATATATGTATACTATATGATTGTGCATATAGCTGTCTGCCTGCCTGCGTATCGCTCAAATTGCCTTCGATTGCGGAGCCGCCATTTTACCCATGGCAGCCATTCAAAAAAATCCCCATTTTCTTTTCGCTCTTTTTGTTGCCTGGGAGCCATTGTGAATCTTGTTGTCGATTCTGACAACGTCGCTGCCGGCTATGAATTTGGCTTGGTTTTCTTTCAACTTGAAAAACACAATTGTGTGTGCCTCCAGTTCCTTGGGTTGTTTTCAATTTGGTTTTTGCGAAAGCCCGCAGAAGTAGACTACAAATATGCGCAAAAATATAATGCTGGCATCTGGAATAAATTACACAGTACTTGGAATAAGGACAGAAAATAAGATGGATAATCGATTTTACCTCCTTTTATTTATGCATGAATAATCTAAATAATATGTTTTGTTTAAAAGAACTCGTCAAAGGCTAAGCTTTCTAAACACATACAGAAAACGAATAACCTAATTGTAAAATTAAAGAACATACATTTTAGTAAATGTGATGTAAATCAGACAGATTTATTTTTCCTTTTAACATTTTCCTGATTAAAAATATATACCTCAATTTACGTGTATTATCTCTGTTCTGAGCAGACCGCAACCTTAAAACCCCACATAACTTTAAACAAAAATACAAAAAAATAGAGATATTTCAGCCAGCCTGTCAAGTCAAATTACAAAGAAGAGACTTTAAAAGCCCAAAAGTCCGCACTCCGGATGTCGAATGCGAGGGTTTGTGTAGGTGCTTTGAATGTGTCGAGTGTGTGTGTATGTGTGTGTAGGTGGTGGTCCTTTGGCTACGCATATTCTGGCTTTTGGAAAATGGCCGAAACCAAGAAGCCCGAGAGCGCCGACCACTTGGCAGCTCATAAGTGTGCGTCTTGCTTCTCCAAGCCAACTGACGGACGCCCCAAAATCGTTTTTGGGCTGTAGGTGCACTGAAGAAAAATTATACAATAGTAGTAGAACAGTATACCTAAAAACTATAGCTATTTTAATAATTACAGTTGAGTACCGATAGATTGAAATAAAATAATATAATAATGAAATTAGAAAAATATTTTAGAGAAGATAGTTTCATAAAATGTATTCCAATAATGAATTTTATTAGAAAACAATATGTAAAATATTACATTTTAGCATTATTTTGTTTAACCTGATTCGAAAATATGCTAATTTTAACTATATAATGTTCGTGTTCATGTGTTTTAATTTTATTGAATGCAGAGTTAACATTAGTTACAGAATTTTTACTAAAATCTTTATACCCCTGTATTTATTTCTGAAATAAATGAATATTTGACAACTCTCCAGACCCTGAAATATTTCTGAAATATTTTGTCACCTAACAAACATAATAAGTCTAAAATTGTTATAAAATTTAATGTATTTAATCCAAAAAATACAATTACAATTATAAACAATATCAAAGCTTGGAAAAACAGAGAAAAATCGTCTATAAACATATTGTTTCACAACATTTTAAGTTATATTACAGCTTATATTGCAACAGCTTAATAATTTGTAATTTATTGCAAATATATTTTCGATACCATTTCTCTGAGTGGGCGGGGTGCAGGGCAGGTCTTGCTTTGGATCAGCCGGTCGGACCGAGTCACTCAGTCAGCAATTTAACGGCTTTAAGGTCATTTTCACAGTTACGAAACAATGGCACAACAATAAGCAATGGCAGCCAAGTGCATAAGCACACACACACACGCTGCCATAGCTGCAAACATGCATGTGTGCATGTGTGTATGGATGTAGTTGTGGCCAGGATATGAGAGGAAAGAAGCAGAGGCGGTTGGAGAACTGCAGCGCAGAACAATACAAATACAAATATATATACATATATATATTTATGGGTATTTTTAGTACACTCCGGTTCAAAACGAGAGAGCGGAATGATAGACCAACGCCGAGTGCGAGTGGGAAGGAGTGACAGAGAGCGATAGCTAGAGAGAGAAAGCGGAGAGTGTGCGATAAAGAGGGAGGGAAAAAAGCGAAGCTGAAAAGAGCTTTTTCGGGAGACCACTCCCCGAAAACTGCAGGCGACGTCGACGCACACAAAACAACCAATCCCAGGCACAAACACACAAAAAACCCAAAAGAAAACCCCACACACACACACTCGCGAATATGGCAAAGTGTTACAATGCAATTTCCCCGCCGCTATTGTTGGTGTTGTTGTTGGGCGACCAACCCAAACTCGATTGTTGGAAACAAGTAGAAAAAAAAATAATAAAACAACAACGGCCAGCCTGGAAAACTGGCACAGCCGAAAGCAACAACAATTGGCACAGGGTGCAGCAGCTGAATCGGCTTTCCAATTGGAAGTCCACTTGGCTTTCTAAGGGTTGGGTTGTGATTATGTCAGCAGCATGGTGTGCGTGTGTATGTGTGTGTGTGCGTGCCACCCCCTTACCGCCCGAAGAGCGGCGGCATCGTGTGCCTTTAGTCGTCAGTTGCTTTCCAAGCGTCAAAGTTGCCGCTCGGCTTTTTTCCGGTCATTCGTGCAGCAAAAATTCTGTGATAACGGTAACAAGCCAACCAACAAAAAAAATACATAAATAATATAAATATGATAAAAAATTAATAAGCAAGAGCGCAATTCGAAAGAAAGAGAATATACCGTTAACACAAAACATCGACGGGCAAATCAAAACCAAAATGTGGATTAAATCAACAAAAATCAAAATGTGAATGGTGCAAAGTGGTGATGGCTGAAAGCTTATTCAAATAAGGTTAAGCGAAACATCGGCATTTACTAACCAAATATCGCGAAGAATCCAACACAGCATGGAACTCCTTAAGCTAATGATGTTCAAGAGTGACTTTCTGTCCAACGGCAAATGTGATGATCGCGTACCGCCAATTAATTTGAGTCAATTGCCAGAGTTTTTGCTGTGTAAGTTGATACTTCCTTTATCTGATCGAAAGGATAATGGTCGGGGAGGGTGGGGATTTATCATTGGATCATATCCTTGAATCAGCGGTTGTCGGGCAACAAAATAAATGTGATTACAATTAATTTCTGGTTTCATTTTAAGCAAATCTTGCTTAATAATTAAAATCAATTTCAAAATTTTAGGAAACTTGTTAGGAATGTCAAAGGAAATCGAACTTATTAGCATGTTCATAAATAGTAATGAGTTTCATTTAGATATTTCAAAAATTTGTACAAACGCAATGAATAAATATAATGTTTATTTGCTTGGGTATTTTTGTAAAGTGTTTCTTTTATATTAAGTATATTAACATTCAAACACTTGACATATTTATTAATATATGGGTTGTTATACTTCAACAATCTAAGTAAGTACTACAAAATGAAAAAAATGTTTTAAAAACTTTCAACATTTGTTCGGGTTAAATGTTATTTACTTTCATTTACAAATTCTTAACTATAAAATGTATTCTCTTTAATTTTTAAACACACTAGCTTTTGTAGGGAGAAGGCACATGTGTTTTAAAATATGCAACGTTTTATAACAAATTGAAGATTCTGTAAAGATATACAAATAGAGTTTAAAAAAATTGTAAATAAGTAAAGAATTGCATTTACAAATACAAATTTATCTACAGATTGTAGACTTTTTATTTTCTGCACTTTGCTTTAGGTTTTAAAATATGTAACAAAACAGAAATTTGGTTTTACGAATGATATTTTACGTAAATAAAATACATTGTTTACATAATGCACATACTATTTTTTAACTTTTTTACTTTGGCAGTTTGTTTGTTAAGTGTTGCCTACTTTTAGGCAATTGCGGGCAAACGGCATTTCCGGCAAAAAATATATTTGATTGTTAATGGGTTTTCCCATAAAATGATATGTTCTTTATTAATGTCAGTGCTTAAAGTGTGTTTCAATTTAGTTTATTTCCGGGAACAGAACAATGAAAAGCTGAATTTTATATAAGCATTTTCACATTTGGTGTCCTTAGCTCTACATTCCCGAGCCCCGAAAAAAGACATACTTAAGCATACGTAACAGATAGTTGGACAAGTTTATTTAAACAAAGCTTGCTCAGTTCTAAATTGTTAAAATGGTGTGTAATGTATAAATAAAATATAATCTTTTTATGAGTGTATGCAATATAGGTAATTATGCGAAGGGAATTTATAATAATTTTGTTATCCTTTTGGTAAACCTGAAGAATAAAATGGCCTCAGACATATATTATGTGTTTCATACTTTGCATTCTCAATCTCTAAAATACCTCTCCAAATCCCTTTAGAGTTCACAACGAAAATAAGCTGTTTATATAGTTGCTTTTTAAATAGATGACAAAATCATTTTCAAATTAGGGACAAATAGCTCAATTAATATTTGACTTGATTTGATTCAGTCGGTCCGAAAAATATTGAAAAAGAAAAAACAATAGAAGAAAATGATTGCGAGTCAAATAGGTAAAAAAGAAAGAACCCATCTTGGACTAATGCTGCTACCAATAGAAATACAAGAGGACTTTAATTAATTGAAGTCTATCCTGCTTTCTTACAGCTACGATCCCAAAGTGCGGCGGCTGCCACGAGTTAATCCTGGACCGCTTCATCCTCAAGGTGCTAGAGAGGACGTGGCACGCCAAGTGCCTGCAGTGCAGCGAGTGCCATGGTCAGCTGAATGACAAGTGCTTTGCGAGGAATGGCCAGCTCTTCTGCAAGGAGGACTTCTTCAAGTAAGTAAATTTCTCAAATGCATGGCCAGGCAGACTGGTAGTTAGCCGGCTTGGTTTAATGAAAAATCTCCTTCCATGTCGCATTTGCCAATGTTTGGGTCGAACAGACGTTACGGTACAAAGTGTTCCGCTTGTGATATGGGCATCCCGCCCACGCAGGTGGTGCGGCGGGCCCAGGACAACGTCTACCATCTGCAGTGCTTCCTGTGCGCCATGTGCTCCCGCACCCTGAACACGGGCGACGAGTTCTACCTGATGGAGGACCGCAAGCTCATTTGCAAGCGCGACTACGAGGAGGCCAAGGCAAAAGGTGGGTGGCTTCTTCCCAATTTTCTTCCTTCGATCCTCCTTTAACCTTGAGGTGTTCCCCCATTTCAGGTCTCTATTTAGATGGCTCTTTGGACGGTGATCAGCCGAACAAGCGACCCCGCACCACGATCACCGCCAAGCAGCTGGAGACTCTGAAGACCGCCTACAACAATAGCCCCAAGCCCGCCCGCCATGTACGTGAGCAGCTCTCGCAGGACACCGGCCTGGACATGCGTGTGGTGCAGGTCTGGTTCCAGAACAGGTGAGTCGCCTGCCTTGGCATCGTTCTTTTCATTGTGCTAATTAAGACTGGACTTTTCAATACAGGCGGGCCAAGGAGAAACGACTGAAAAAGGACGCTGGCCGCACGCGTTGGAGCCAGTACTTCCGCTCGATGAAGGGCAACTGCTCGCCACGCACCGACAAATTCCTTGACAAAGATGAGCTGAAGGTGGACTATGACAGTTTCAGTCATCATGGTAAGTGTTTGATCCCTATTAAGTTTGGAGTAAGAGAAAAATTTGCAATTCAAACGAAGTTCTTGGTTCCCTTTAAAAATCTTTAATTCAAAATTAAATTTGAGCAATGCATTGTAAAACAGTTTCTTGGATTTTAAATTTTCTACTCCTTTCTATTTATTATAGTTTTAATTAACATTATTTTATTCGTTCGGCCTACCTTTCTTTGCTTTTATGATGATGAACCATTATAAGTAGTGTCAGTAGCCTATTTAACCCCAAAGACAACAGTAAATGATGAGTATAAAATGGGGTAATTCGAAAGGCGGTTTCTTTTGGGATCTTTCGGGATAACTTAAACTATAAATAAGAGCACCCGAAGTCCTTTGAAGCTTCCGGAATTTACGTGGGACATTTCCTTACCTTTCAGTCTAATCAGTTTAATAAGTTGTATATTAATATCGTATAATTTTATTATTATAGTATAATATTATAATAATATTAGTATACTGATCCTCTATCTTTAAGAACGTCTTTTAACTTTGTTCTTTTCATGACAAACTCTTATCCTTAGTGCATACAAATAAATCTAACTAACTTTATGTTCTTTCTTCACAGATCTAAGCAACGACAGCTACAGTACCGTCAATTTGGGTCTGGATGAGGGCGCCTCGCCACATAGCATTCGCGGTTCCTACATGCACGGCAGCTCCAGTCCATCGCAGTATCCGCCGAGCAGCCGCTCGCCGCCGCCAGTTGGCCAGGGTCACACTTTTGGCTCCTATCCGGACAACATTGTGTACACCAATATAGGTAAGTTTAGTCCTGGTAAAAGTTGATGCAAGATAATAGTGTTTATAATCTCAGATCATGCTGTGGCCTCCAATCTGCATGCCAGCAAGTCGCACCATCGCCTGCATAGTAGCAACAATGTCTCGGATTTGAGCAACGACTCCAGTCCCGATCAGGGTTATCCCGATTTTCCGCCCAGTCCGGATTCCTGGCTCGGTGATTCCGGTAGTACCAACAATACCAGCGCTAATAATAACAATAGCAACAATAATGCGAACAACAGCAGCAGCAGCAACAACAACAACAACAGCAGCAGTGCGGGCGGAGGCGGTGGAGGAAGTGGCACTGTGAGCCTTAATGCCGCCGCACCCAATGCTTCAGCGGCAGGCGTACATTACTGATACTCAAATCTGCTTTTGCGTTACTTCGAGATGCAATCGCGTAGTCTGCTGCTGGCGGCATCTGCTGCACAGCAGCAGCAGCAACATCAGCAACATTCGTCGCATCTGTAGCAGCGACGCCATCTTGAAAGCTTGCGGCAGCTATAGCAAAGCTTAACCTTTGAGACATGTGGCAATGCTGCAAACACACACACACACACAAAACACCCCCTATCGTTTAGGTAATAAGCGTTTTTTGTTTATTTTTAGTGAGAAGATATCCCCCCCCCAAAAAAAAAAAACACAATTTGCTCAAAATCCTTGATTTTTACTTCGGTAGCTTGAGATATATATACACCCGACACGGCTTGAATGTTACTATCTTTGAACGATATAAACATCACTATCATTTACATTTGTATCCCCTATACTTTAATGTAAATATTGTATATTTGTGTATAGTGAATGGAAACTAAAACTGAATTTTAAATTAATTTAAGTCTGTATAGCGTAAAACAAATGCGGGATAAACGAGAGCACAACATTGGTTAAGCCCTTGCCCAAAAAAAAAAAACAAAACAATACCAAAAAAAAAACATGAAAACCAAAAAACCAGTTATTTATTGCTTTATATAGGAATACAACCAAATTGCATAGGAGAAATATCAATTACGAAAACGTGATGTCGTATTTATATCTAACGAAAAACCAAAAAAATATTTCAACCAAATAGAAATGTCAGTAATGAAGCAACTACGTAAAATGATAAAACGAAATGCGATGAAATAAATTACTATTTGACACATAAGAATAAAAGACAACAACAAATTGTTAACCAGAAATGTTTATTTATTTTCTTATCGAAGCGTTGACTTAACTTGATTGCAAGTTTTAATTTTAACTTTAAATATATATTCTTTAATACCTTCTTTTTCAGATTTAAGTTTTCACTGAAGTGGTAGCAAAATGTATAGAAAAATGAAAATTGATATATCATACTGTGTGCGAAAGTCGAAAGCATCATATATACCAAGCATCCGAAAGCAACACATATACCAAGCCGTATCTGTTATTCATAAAGAATTCTAAAACTATTTTAAGTAAAACATGTCGTCTTCTTCGGATGAAAATGACTATACAGATCCAGTGGCCGTGTGTCACATTTCCGAGTTGCGGAATTCCGAAATGAGGGAAGTGGACTTCGATGGTGATACTCGCGTGCTCCTGATCAACCAAAATGGTCACTTGCGGGCGCTCGGCGCAAGTTGTCCGCATCGTGGAGCTCCCCTATACAAAGGAGTTCTCTCCAGTGGCCATGTGCGATGTCCCTGGCACGGTGCCTGCTTCGACCTAGAGACAGGTGACATAGAGGACTTTCCCGGCCTGGACTCGCTGCCCTGTCACCGAGTCACCGTTGACTCCCAGGGACAAGTGCTAGTGCGCGCCAAGCGATCTGAATTGGGTAAGAAATCCAGGATCAAAGAGATGGTAGGGCGTCATTTTGGGATCAAAGTTGCTTTGTCGTGGTTGGAGGCGGACCCTCGGGAGCGGTCTGCGTGGAGACCCTGCGGCAAGAGGGCTTCACCGGCCGTATAATCCTTGTCTGCCAGGAGAGACACCTGCCCTACAATCGTGTAGAAATCATGAGCTCCCGAGCCAAGAGCATGGATCATTTGTGTTTTCGTGACGCAAAGTTTTACCGGGACTACAACATCGAGGTACGTCTGGGGTTCTCCGCCCAGAAGCTAGATACTCGGCGACAAGAGCTGCACTGCAGCAATGGAAGGGTTTTTCAATACGACAAGATCTACCTGGCTACTGGTTACTCCGCTGTAAGACCAGACATATCCGGCGTTGATTTGGAAAATGTGAAAACTATTCGAGATATCTCCGATGCCAGGAGCATCCTTGACATGGTTAACACTAAAACCCACGTGGTCTGCTTGGGATCCAGTTTTATGGCCGTGGAGGCAGCTGCCAATTTGGTCTCTAAGGCGGCCAGTGTAACCCTTGTGGCGCGACAAAATGTTCCATTCAAAAGCAATCTGGGCGAAAAGATTGGACGGAGGATACTTAAGCTTCTGGAGGATAATGGAGTGCATTTGCGCATGAGCAGTGGCATCACCCGCATCCTGGGTTACTCCTTTGGTCAGGTGAAGAAGGTACAGCTGATAGACAAGTCCTGGATACCGTGCGACTTGCTCATTCTAGGTACCGGCTGCAAATGTAATACAGGATTTCTCATTGGCTCCGACGTGGCAGTCAATCCGAATGGCTCCGTGGACGTCAATGACTATTTGGAAACAAACGTTCGGAACGTGTTTGCCGGTGGGGATATCGTCAACGCTCACATCCTTGGTGGACATAAAGATCGGGTGAACATAGGCCACTACGGCTTGGCGCAATACCATGGGCGTGTGGCTGCCATGAACATGTGTGGCCACATCAAGAAGTTGGAAGCGACACCCTTCTTTTATACGGTCATCTTTGGCAAAGCGTTTCGATCCGCGGGTTATGGTTCCTACCAAGAGGTCATCGTCGACGGTAGTCTGGAGGATCTGCAATTCGTTGCCTACTTTGTGAACAAGAAGAATATGGTCACGGCAGTGGCATCCTGTGGCCGGGATCCTATTGTGGCCAAATTCGCGGAACTGATATCACAGGGTAAAGGATTGCGCCGGTGTCAAATCGAAGATTCCAAGAAATGCAACAAATGGCATTCCTTGATAACGCCGTAGAACTAGTACTAGGATAAATATATATTTTAAAATTTAAATATGTGGTTTTTGGTACAACAAATTAAAGCTGTGCACAAGAGCAGTATAACAGTTCGCCTCAAGCTCACATCTATTAAATAAAGCTTGTTTTATATTAACTAAAGCTTTACCTAAGCCCAAAAAAAAAAAAAAAAAAACGCTTTTTAAGTTCAAAATACTTTGATTTGGAAATGTGAATGTTAAAAGAAATTGAGAATATAAATAAATTGTTGTTAAGTCTCCCCTAAACATTATTTTAAATTAAAACAAATTAAATCAGTAATATTCACACACGGTCTTGACACACTAGCCAAATATATTGCTTCAATTTACAACATCTTAGCCGCATTTTACTTATATAATTTTAGTCAGAAGTTTGCAAAGCAGTGAAAGAGTCATTTCTTTTACTCTCGCCTTTTTCCTCTGTTTCCTCCTCTGTTTATACCTATTTGCAAGGTATAAGTATTAATCAGAAGCTTATAACACGAATTATTAAAATTTAAACACGCAGGATGCAGATTTGTTAGCGCTATAAATATTAGCACAGAACAGTTCTCCGAATTGAAATTAACGCATTTTTGGCTGTTTTTATACCTTTTTGCAGGGTATTATAATTTTTGTCAAAATCTTTTAACAGCATCAACAAACGCAGAATGCAGACTTTATAGCGCTTTAAAATGTAGCACAGAACAGCTTTCCGAATTGAAGTTAAGTTCCGAATTGAAGTTATTTTGTCTTTATTATGATGTTTGCAAAACACTGATTATTTAAAAAATTGCCCGTTTTTATACCAATTTGCAAAGTATTGGTATAAATCAGAAGCTTATTACACAATGAAGGAATGATTTCCGACCCTATAAATCATATATATTCTTGATCAGAATGAACAGCTGAACCCATCTAGCCATGTCTTGTGGGAAAATAAAGTTTTGCATTTTTTCCAAAATTTCAAAAAACGATAAGGGGTTAATTATGATGTTTGAGAAACACTGATTATTTACAAAAATTGGCTGTTTTTATACCTTTTTGCAGGGTATTATAATTTTTGTCAAAATCTTTTAACAGCATCAACAAACGCAGAATGCAGATTTGTTAGCGCTTTAAAATGTAGCACAGAACAGCTTTCCGAATTGAAGTTTATGTATTTTGTCTTAATTATGATGTTTGCAAAACACTGATTATTTAAAAAAATTTCCGGTTTTTATACCAATTTGCAAAGTATTGGTATAAATCAGAAGCTTATTACACAATGAAGGAATCATTTCCGACCCTATAAATCATATATATTCTTGATCAGAATGAACAGCTGAACCGATCTAGCCATGTCTTGTGGGAAAATAAAGGTTTGCATTTTTTCCAAAATTTCAAAAAAAGATAAGGGGTTACATCGTTAAAATTATTAAAATTCGATAAAAAATTGAATTTTTAAAATTTAAAAACGCAGTATGCAGATTTGTTAGCGCTTTAAAATGTAGCACAGAACAGCTTTCCGAATTGAAGTTTATGTATTTTTGTCTTAATTATGATGTTTGCAAAACACTGATTATTTTTAAAAATTGCCGTTTTTATACCAATTTGCAAGGTATTGGTATAAATCAGAAGCTTATAACACAATGAAGGAATCATTTCCGACCCTATAAATCATATATATTCTTGATCAGAATGAACAGCTGAACCGATCTAGCCATGTCTTGTGGGAAAATAAAGTTTTGCATTTTTTCCAAAATTTCAAAAAACGATAAGGGGTTACATCGTTAAAATTATCAAAATTCGATAAAAAATTGAATTTTGTAAATTTAAAAACGCAGTATGCAGATTTGTTAGCGCTTTAAAAATTAGCAGAAAACAGTTTTCCGAATTGAAATTAACGCAGTTTTGGCTTAATTATGATGTTTGAAAAACACTGATTATTTACAAAAATTGGCTGTTTTTATACCTTTTTGCAGGGTACTAAAATTTTTGTCAAAATCTTTTAACAGCATCAACAAACGCAGTATGCAGATTTGTTAGCGGTATAAAACTTAGCACAGAACAGTTTTCCGAATTGAAATTAACGCAGTTTTGGCTGAATTATGATGTTTGAAAAACACTGATTATTTACAAAAATTGGCTGTTTTTATACCTTTTTGCAGGGTATTATAATTTTTGTCAAAATCTTTTAACAGTATCAACAAACGCAGTATGCAGATTTGTTAGCGCTTTAAAATGTAGCACAGAACAGCTTTCCGAATTGAAGTTAATGTATTTTGTCTTAATTATGATGTTTGCAAAACACTGATTATTTTAAAAAATTTCCGTTTTTATACCAATTTGCAAGGTATTGGTATAAATCAGAAGCTTATAACACAATGAAGGAATCATTTCCGACCCTATAAATCATATATATTCTTGATCAGAATGAACAGCTGAACCGATCAAGCCATGTCTTGTGGGAAAATAAAGTTTGCATTTTTTCCAAAATTTCAAAAAACGATAAGGGTTACATCGTTAAAATTATCAAAATTCGATAAAAAATTGAATTTTGTAAATTTAAAAACGCAGTATGCAGATTTGTTAGCGGTATAAAACTTAGCACAGAACAGTTTTCCGAATTGAAATTAACGCAGTTTTGGCTGAATTATTATGTTTGAAAAACACTGATTATTTACAAAAATTGGCTGTTTTTATACCTTTTGCAGGGTATTATAATTTTGTTAAAATCTTTTAACAGCATCAACAAACGCAGTATGCAGATTTGTTAGCGCTTTAAAATGTAGCACAGAACAGCTTTCCGAATTGAAGTTAATGTATTTTTGTCTTAATTATGATGTTTGCAAAACACTGATTATTTTTAAAAATTGCCGTTTTATACCAATTTGCAAGGTATTGGTATAAATCAGAAGCTTATAACACAATGAAGGAATCATTTCCGACCCTATAAATCATATATATTCTTGATCAGAATGAACAGCTGAACCGATCTAGCCATGTCTTGTGGGAAAATAAAGGTTTGCATTTTTTCCAAAATTTCAAAAAAAGATAAGGGGTTACATCGTTAAAATTATTAAAATTCGATAAAAAATTGAATTTTTAAAATTTAAAAACGCAGTATGCAGATTTGTTAGCGCTTTAAAAATTAGCAGAAAACAGTTTTCCGAATTGAAATTAACGCAGTTTTGGCTTAATTATGATGTTTGAAAAACACTGATTATTTACAAAAATTGGCTGTTTTTATACCTTTTGCAGGGTATTATAATTTTTGTCAAAATCTTTTAACAGTATCAACAAACGCAGTATGCAGATTGTTAGCGCTTTAAAATGTAGCACAGAACAGCTTTCCGAATTGAAGTTAATGTATTTTTGTCTTAATTATGATGTTTGCAAAACACTGATTATTTTAAAAAATTGCCCGATTTTATACCAATTTGCAAGGTATTGGTATAAATCAGAAGCTTATAACACAATGAAGGAATCATTTCCGACCCTATAAATCATATAAATTCTTGATCAGAATGAACAGCTGAACCGATCTAGCCATGTCTTGTGGAAAAATAAAGTTTTGCATTTTTCCAAAATTTCAAAAAAATATAAGGGGTTAATTATGATGTTTGAGAAACACTGATTATTTACAAAAATTGGCTGTTTTTATACCTTTTTGCAGGGTATTATAATTTTTGTCAAACTCTTTTAACAGCATCAACAAACGCAGAATGCAGATTTGTTAGCGCTTTAAAATGTAGCACAGAACAGCTTTCCGAATTGAAGTTAATGTATTTTTGTCTTAATTATGATGTTTGCAAAACACTGATTATTTTAAAAAATTGCCCGTTTTTATACCAATTTGCAAAGTATTGGTATAAATCAGAAGCTTATTACACAATGAAGGAATGATTTCCGACCCTATAAATCATTTATATTCTTGATCAGAATGAACAGCTGAACCGATCTAGCCATGTCTTGTGGGAAAATAAAGTTTTGCATTTTTTCCAAAATTTCAAAAAACGATAAGGGGTTACATCGTTAAAATTATCAAAATTCGATAAAAAATTGAATTTTGTAAATTTAAAAACGCTGTATGCAGATTTGTTAGCGCTATAAAAATTAGCACAGAACAGTTTTCCGAATTGAAATTAACGCAGTTTTGGCTTAATTATGATGTTTGAAAAACACAGATTATTTACAAAAATTTGCTGTTTTTATACCGTTTTGCAGGGTATTATAATTTTGTCAAACTCTTTTAACAGCATCAACAAACGCAGAATGCAGATTTGTTAGCGCTTTAAAATGTAGCACAGAACAGCTTTCCGAATTGAAGTTAATGTATTTTTGTCTTAATTATGATGTTTGCAAAACACTGATTATTTTAAAAAATTCCCCGTTTTTATACCAATTTGCAAAGTATTGGTATAAATCAGAAGCTTATTACACAATGAAGGAATGATTTCCGACCCTATAAATCATTTATATTCTTGATCAGAATGAACAGCTGAACCGATCTAGCCATGTCTTGTGGGAAAATAAAGTTTTGCATTTTTTCCAAAATTTCAAAAAACGATAAGGGGTTACATCGTTAAAATTATCAAAATTCGATAAAAAATTGAATTTTGTAAATTTAAAAACGCTGTATGCAGATTTGTTAGCGCTATAAAAATTAGCACAGAACAGTTTCCGAATTGAAATTAACGCAGTTTTGGCTTAATTATGATGTTTGAAAAACACAGATTATTTACAAAAATTTGCTGTTTTTATACCGTTTTGCAGGGTATTATAATTTTTGTCAAACTCTTTTAACAGCATCAACAAACGCAGTATGCAGATTTGTTAGCGCTTTAAAATGTAGCACAGAACAGCTTTCCGAATTGAAGTTAATGTATTTTTGTCTTAATTATGATGTTTTCAAAACACTGATTATTTAAAAAATTGCCCGTTTTTATACCAATTTGCAAGGTATTGGTATAAATCAGAAGCTTATAACACAATGAAGGAATCATTTCCGACCCTATAAATCATATATATTCTTGATCAGAATGAACAGCTGAACCGATCTAGCCATGTCTTGTGGGAAAATAAAGGTTTGCATTTTTTCCAAAATTTCAAAAAAAGATAAGGGGTTACATCGTTAAAATTATCAAAATTCGATCAAAAATTGAATT